ACCAAGCTTATTAGTTGAAAGGCATTTTTTGATGAAGTATTTTGTTTCGGAGAATTTTTCATATCATACGATCATTTTTTAGCGAGATTTTAAAGGCACTGCTTCTTGTATCTTGGCAGTACCTACCTGTTTTTTTTCCGTTAAGTTTACTGTTGGACATTTTAATGTATAGCAGAAGTATAATAAGTTGTTTTTCTTTTCGAAGTTCTAATCAGTCTGCAGTTTGCGATTTTTTACATTGTGGAAGCTGTTGAAGCCAAAAAATTCTTGTTTTTCTTGACCAGGGCATTGTTGAAATTGAATAATAGCAGTTTTCGATCAGCACCAGCTTGTAAATATCGTTTGCCAGCATATCATTTTCGCCTACAGATATGTGTTTTTGTTGTAAAAGCAACGATGATGAGATAGCAAAACGATTTGGCAGCTGTAGCGACAATGTGCCGAGGTTTTTAATCACTTGTATTTTAAAGACATCAAATCTCTCGACATCAAATTTCCTATTATTCCCCCCACATATCTGGTCTACCTCTATTTCACGCAAACTCGGCTATAAGACTCAATACCCTCTGATTGCCAGCGCCCAGCACCACAAGTGGACTGGCCTCGTTGTGCGTACTTTAAGCAAATTCAGATTTTGTTGCAGGAATTTTCAGCATGCTTGGCCCAGGCTACGAGTTCTCATGCATAATTTGATTATTAAGCAAGGGTGACGAACATTAAAATCTTTCCCTCACTGATACTTTTTAGCAAAATTTACCGGGGCGGAAAAATTGCATTAGTTCTTGTCCTTTTAATTATCAACGAGTATCGCTGTCTGACTTACTATATTCTTATTTTCGGAATGTTTTTTTTTTCATGGAAAGCTGTTTGTTTCTCAAGTTTTTAATAAAATCTTGTTTTGTTCTTTATAAATTTCGTTTGGTTCAAAATGCCTGTGAACGAACCGGGAATTTGGCTGATAATTTGTTAAGTGGACAAAGTATGTCCCCCACTCTGTCGACAGCCGGTCGCATTAGTAAATGGTACTCGCAAGGAAACTGAAATGCCATTTGGGCGATCCTCAAAGAAGAGATGGCGCACATACATTGAACGAGATGGTGAACACAAAGTAAAAAGGTACACAGTTCAGGACTGATGAGTGTGGCTTGGCTGCAACCGTTTTGGGACAACCCAGCACGTCACTAACATGGACTCCACACATTCATTATCGAGGTGGCGTTGTACTCTTGGTAGTTCGAAGTTAAAGTTCGTGAACGAGGGGTTTAGTCTTTGAGTTATTGCTTGTTTGCTTTACTTTTCCAGTCTTTTAGTATTTCTTGTTGATTTCCGGGAAGTGAGTGGAATAGACCGTGAAACGGTTGTTGATCTGTGAGTCGAATTTGCGCTGCTTTCAGAAACTATCTAGATTTTGTTTTGTCAAGTTCGTGGTTGGACAAATTTGTTATTTTGGGTTTCTTCTTAGCACATCTCTGTTTGTCATTCTTCCCGTAAAGCAACGCTGTGTAATTGCTGCTCTATCTAAAACTGTCGGGTCAGTGTTATTTGCAGTGGTGACATCAGTGGTTTAAAAATGTGATTCAGTGAAACGAAAGCATCTTCAAGCTGCATGGGTTTTGCTCAGCACCGTCTTTTTTTATCTTTCTGTTACTGAAAGCTTGCAGAAGTTGCTGTTCTCCGTATCTAACGTGCAGGGACATTGATTTTGCTGAGATAAGTGTTGGGCATGCTAGCAAAGTACTGACTGGCAAACGCAAAGCAACTTATAGACTCACGTATGCGAGACGAAGCAG